GCACAGGGGTGTCACAGGACAGGGGTGTCACAGCACAGGGGGTGTCACAGCACAGGGGTGTCACAGCACAGCACAGGGGTGTCCCTGGCGCCCTCTGCGGGAGGAAGAGGGAAGAGCACGGGGCCTGCTGGCGCGCTCGGTCATTTCCGTGAGCGCTCGGGTCCGTCCGGCGGGGGGCGGGACCGGCCCTGGTCGGGGGCGTGTCGGGGGCGTGTCCCCTCCCCCGGCCCCGCCCCGCAGTCGCCCCGTGTCGGCCATGGCGTCCCCTTCGCGGCGGCTGCAGACCAAGCCGGTCATCACCTGCCTCAAGAGCGTCCTGCTCACCTACACCTTCGTCTTCTGGGTGAGCGCCCGCCCTAACCCCCGATACAAGCCGCGGCTGCGCCGCCCTGTCGCGATAGTCGCGAGCCACCGCGGCTTTCCCCTCTCCCCACCAGGTGTCGGGCATTGTGCTGCTGGCCGTGGGCATCTGGGGTAGGGTGAGCCTGGCCGTCTACTTCTCCCTGTTGGACGAGAAAGCCACCAATGTCCCGTTCGTCCTGGTGGGCGCTGGCACCGTCGTTGTCCTCCTGGGCACCTTCGGCTGCTTCGCCACCTGCCGCGGCAGCACCTGGATGCTCAAGCTGGTGGGTGGCCTGGGACAGGCAGGGATGGAACCCCATCCTCTCCTGATCCTTCCTGACCCCTCCTGATCCATCCCGAAACATCCCAACCTATTCCTGTCTGATCCCATCCCCACCCTACCCCGTCCCATCCTCTCCTCCTCCACTGTCCCCTCCCGTCCCCTCCTGTCCTGCCCCATCCCTTCCATCCCCTCCCATCCCATCCTTTCTGCCCGCAGTACGCCATGCTCCTGTCCCTCATCTTCCTCATCGTCCTGGTGGCCGCCATCGTGGGCTTCGTCTTCAGGCACGAGGTGAGTCTGGGTGGCCACTGCAGGGTGAGTTTGATGCTGCTTTCACCCCAGTGCAGGTGCAGATGTCACTGGAGGGACAGAGGTGCTGCTTGGGAGCGGTGCTTAGTTTAGCAAAACTAGGGTTAAACCAGCACAAAGAGCAGCTTGGTCCCTGTAAGGACCCAGAAGGACGAGCCTGGGTGCAGGGTCAGTCCAGCACGGCACGTTATCCCTCCGTCAGGACAGGCAGAGTAGCCCTGGACTGTAATTTCTGGCTTTGGTCTATCTTCTGCAATAATTTCAGTAATTAAAGCTCCTCGGAGGGTTCCTGTGCCTGCTTGGGAGGGAGCTGGCACGGTGCACGTCCTTGTTATTACAGGCAGCATCCCTGCTGCCACAGTGCATCCAGCCCGCCCTTTAATACAGCCTCTAATTGCCTGGTGGCTGGCAAGTGTCTGCTGGCCATGGCCGGAGTCATTCCTGCCGTCACCGAGCGCTGACTAACGCGGGATGGGGTCCTGCAGGGCAGGAGGGGACAGCACCGCTCTCAGACCTCTCTCTTACAGATAAAGACAAACTTTGAGAGTAACCTGGAGCTGGCCTTGAAGGACTACAACGTGACTGCGGATCGGCACAGCGAGGCCGTGGACACCATCCAGAGAACGGTGAGAGCCCTGGGCTGGGCAGCAGGAGGGAATGCTCCCCTCGGCCCAGGGTGTCCCCTCGGAGCTCTGTGGCATCCCCATCACGGGCTTGGGGATTTGGCAGATGCTGGGTGAGCTGCCCGGGGGTGGGGGAGCCGTGGAGGTGATGGTGGGACTAGGGGTCAGTTCCCTGGTGTGACCTGGCTCCCCAAATGTGCTCCAGCTGCACTGCTGCGGGGTGCAGAGCTATTCTGACTGGGAGAAGACTGAATACTTCAGCCAGAAGGGCATCCCCCAGAGCTGTTGCAAGAACCAGAACGACTGCTCGGAGGAAGATCTGAAAGACCCAAACAAGGCCAAGCTGAAAGTGTTTGTGGATGTAAGTTAAGCCCAGAAAAATCCACCTGCCAGTCCTGGAGGTGAGAGGGGCAGGGATGGGTGGGTGGAGGAGGGCTAGTCTGTCCCTGGCAGCTTGAAAGGAGAACTGCCCTATTGATACAGATGTTCAGTGGCCCGGGAACTCCCTCGGAGTGGGTAAGGGTATGGAATCCTCCCTTCTGTCTGAGGTTCCACCACTCCTTCCTTCGAGGTCAGGGAGCAGCCA